TCTCCATCCAAGCATTCTTCACCATAAATGAAATGAAAAATAAGTAAATGTGCTCAATTTATCCTCATTTTTTTCTGTTGCTCACATTAGTATTAATTTTGAATGAATCGGTGGATACAATACCTTTTATCCTAAATTTTTATCGTTACCATCCCTCATTCCTTTGTTAGACGATAATGCATAATTCAATAATGATTTATTCTTGTGTTGTAGGCCTACTAATTCTAATATATACAATTTCTACCATTGTTAGTAATTCCAGAAATCGAAATGTATCACTAACACTTATTTCTGATGAAGATTCAATCTAAAAGCGTCCGTTATATCTGTTAGATTTTGAACTTATTTTTATATTTTAGTCTGCTCAAGTCCCTGATATATTTATGGTAATATATATATGGAGAGAGAAAGAGAAAAACATACAGACAAACAAACAGCCAGCCGGAGACAAACAAACAAACAGCCAGCCGGAGACAAACAAACAAACAGCCAGCCGGAGACAAACAAACAAACAGCCAGCCGGAGACAAACAAACAAACAGCCAGCCGGAGACAAACAAACAAACAGCCAGCCGGAGACAAACAAACAAACAGCCAGCCGGAGACAAACAAACAAACAGCCAGCCGGAGACAAACAAACAAACAGCCAGCCGGAGACAAACAAACAAACAGCCAGCCGGAGACAAACAAACAAACAGCCAGCCGGAGACAAACAAACAAACAGCCAGCCGGAGACAAACAAACAAACAGCCAGTCGGAGACAAACAAACAAACAACCCTCCGGATACAAACAAACTAAACAGCCACAAACCGACACAAACAAGCCAAAACCGCCCAAAGGAACCCCCTCCAGCCACTCCCACGCCCTTCTCTCGCCTCTCGCCAGATGCCCCCGCTGTTCGTGGCCGATGTGCGGGCCCGAGTGCGACGCCCAGCCCGACCACGAGCCCGAGTGCCAGGTTACGAGTGCCGCCGGGCTGAACCTGGACGCCGAGATGGCCAGTGCCGAGACGCCCGTTCACCTGTACGAGGTCGTCACGGTTCTCAGGTAGGGGCGCTTGCTTGCTGGCGCTGCGGGTTTTTTCTTGGTTTCTTTTGTGGTGTTTCGTTTGTTTTGTTTTTCTTTCTTTTCTTTTTTTCTTTCTTGTGGGGTTTTTGTGTGTGTTTCTTTATTTTCTTGTTTTTTTCTTTCTTGTGTTTTTTTTGTTTTTTCGTTTTTTCTTTCTTTTCTTGTTTTTTTCTTTTTTGCTTTTTCTTTCTTTCTTTTCTTGTGTTTTTTTCTTTTCTTGTATTTATTTTTCTTTCTTTCCTTGTATTATTTGTGTTATTTTTCTTTCTTTCCTTGTATTCTTTGTGTTATTTTTCTTTCTTAGTGACTATAATCTTCATATCTAGCCTTTGCGAGTGACCTTAAGGACTATAATCTTCATATCTAGCCTTTGCGAGTGACCTTAATGACTATAATCTTCATATCTAGCCTTTGCGAGTGACCTTAAGGACTATAATCTTCATATCTAGCCTTTGCGAGTGACCTTAAGGACTATAATCTTCATATCTAGCCTTTGCGAGTGACCTTAGTGACTATAATCTTCATATCTAGCCTTTGCGAGTGACCTTAAGGACTATAATCTTCATATCTAGCCTTTGCGAGTGACCTTAAGGACTATAATCTTCATATCTAGCCTTTGCGAGTGACCTTAATGACTATAATCTTCATATCTAGCCTTTGCGAGTGACCTTAAGGACTATAATCTTCATATCTAGCCTTTGCGAGTGACCTTAAGGACTATAATCTTCATATCTAGCCTTTGCGAGTGACCTTAAGGACTATAATCTTCATATCTAGCCTTTGCGAGTGACCTTAAGGACTATAATCTTCATATCTAGCCTTTGCGAGTGACCTTAGTGACTATAATCTTCATATCTAGCCTTTGCGAGTGACCTTAAGGACTATAATCTTCATATCTAGCCTTTGCGAGTGACCTTAAGGACTATAATCTTCATATCTAGCCTTTGCGAGTGACCTTAAGGACTATAATCTTCATATCTAGCCTTTGTGAGTGACCTTAGTGACTATAATCTTCATATCTAGCCTTTGCGAGTGACCTTAAGGACTATAATCTTCATATCTAGCCTTTGCGAGTGACCTTAGTGACTATAATCTTCATATCTAGCCTTTGTGATTGACCTTAATGACTATAATCTTCATATCTAGCCTTTGCGAGTGACCTTAGTGACTATAATCTTCATATCTAGCCTTTGCGAGTGACCTTAAGGACTATAATCTTCATATCTAGCGTTTGCGAGTGACCTTAGTGACTATAATCTTCATATCTAGCGTTTGCGAGTGACCTTAGTGACTATAATCTTCATATCTAGCCTTTGTGAGTGACCTTAGTGACTATAATCTTCATATCTAGCGTTTGCGAGTGACCTTAATGACTATAATCTTCATATCTAGCCTTTGCGAGTGACCTTAATTATTATAATTTTCATATCTAGTCTTTGCGAGTGACCTTAGTGACTATAATCTTCATATCTAGCGTTTGCGAGTGACCTTAGTGACTATAATCTTCATATCTAGCGTTTGCGAGTGACCTTAATTATTATAATTTTCATATCTAGTCTTTGCGAGTGACCTTAATTATTATAATTTTCATATCTAGTCTTTGCGAGTGACCTTAGTGACTATAATCTTCATATCTAGCCTTTGCGAGTGACCTTAGTGACTATAATCTTCATATCTAGCGTTTGCGAGTGACCTTAATTATTATAATTTTCATATCTAGTCTTTGCGAGTGACCTTAGTGACTATAATCTTGTCTCACCTTTGCGAGTGACCTTAATTATTATAATTTTCATATCTAGTCTTTGCGAGTGACCTTAATGACTATAATCTTCATATCTAGCGTTTGCGAGTGACCTTAATTATTATAATTTTCATATCTAGTCTTTGCGAGTGACCTTAAGGACTATAATCTTCATATCTAGCGTTTGCGAGTGACCTTAATGACTATAATCATCATATTTAGTCTTTGCGAGTGACCTTAAGGACTATAATCTTCATATCTAGCCTTTGTGATTGACCTTAATGACTATAATCTTCATATCTAGCCTTTGTGAGTGACCTTAGTGACTATAATCTTCATATCTAGCCTTTGTGAGTGACCTTAGTGACTATAATCTTCATATCTAGCCTTTGTGAGTGACCTTAGTGACTATAATCTTCATATCTAGCCTTTGCGAGTGACCTTAGTGACTATAATCTTCATATCTAGCCTTTGCGAGTGACCTTAGTGACTATAATCTTCATATCTAGCCTTTGCGAGTGACCTTAGTGACTATAATCTTCATATCTAGCCTTTGTGATTGACCTTAATGACTATAATCTTCATATCTAGCCTTTGCGAGTGACCTTAATTATTATAATTTTCATATCTAGTCTTTGCGAGTGACCTTAATTACTATAATCATCATATTTAGTCTTTGCGAGTGACCTTAGTGACTATAATCTTCATATCTAGCCTTTGTGATTGACCTTAATGACTATAATCTTCATATCTAGCCTTTGTGAGTGACCTTAGTGACTATAATCTTCATATCTAGCCTTTGTGAGTGACCTTAGTGACTATAATCTTGTCTCACCTTTGCGAGTGACCTTAATTATTATAATTTTCATATCTAGTCTTTGCGAGTGACCTTAGTGACTATAATCTTGTCTCACCTTTGCGAGTGACCTTAATTATTATAATTTTCATATCTAGTCTTTGCGAGTGACCTTAAGGACTATAATCTTCATATCTAGCGTTTGCGAGTGACCTTAGTGACTATAATCTTCATATCTAGCCTTTGTGATTGACCTTAATGACTATAATCTTCATATCTAGCCTTTGTGATTGACCTTAATGACTATAATCTTCATATCTAGCCTTTGTGATTGACCTTAATGACTATAATCTTCATATCTAGCCTTTGTGATTGACCTTAATGACTATAATCTTCATATCTAGCGTTTGCGAGTGACCTTAATGACTATAATCTTCATATCTAGCCTTTGTGATTGACCTTAATGACTATAATCTTCATATCTAGCCTTTGCGAGTGACCTTAATTATTATAATTTTCATATCTAGTCTTTGCGAGTGACCTTAGTGACTATAATCTTCATATCTAGCGTTTGCGAGTGACCTTAATTACTATAATCATCATATTTAGTCTTTGCGAGTGACCTTAATTATTATAATTTTCATATCTAGTCTTTGCGAGTGACCTTAATTATTATAATTTTCATATCTAGTCTTTGCGAGTGACCTTAGTGACTATAATCTTCATATCTAGCGTTTGCGAGTGACCTTAATGACTATAATCTTCATATCTAGCGTTTGCGAGTGACCTTAAGGACTATAATCTTCATATCTAGCGTTTGCGAGTGACCTTAATGACTATAATCATCATATTTAGTCTTTGCGAGTGACCTTAAGGACTATAATCATCATATTTAGTCTTTGCGAGTGACCTTAATGACTATAATCTTCATATCTAGCCTTTGCGAGTGACCTTAATTACTATAATCATCATATTTAGTCTTTGCGAGTGACTTTAATGACTATAATCTTCATATCTAGCGTTTGCGAGTGACCTTAAAGACTATAATCTTCATATCTAGCCTTTGTGAGTGACCTTAGTGACTATAATCTTCATATCTAGCCTTTGTGATTGACCTTAATGACTATAATCTTATCTCACCTTTGCGAATGACCTTAAGGACTATAATCTTCATATCTAGCGTTTGCGAGTGACCTTAATGACAATAATCTTAGTGTCGAAATATGGTGATGAAGGATCCACTGTCTAATTCATACCCTTTTTGTTGTTTCAAATGCATTCGTTTGAAATTTATTACATCATATTATATATCTATATGTTTATTAGGAAATAAGAATAGGAGTCTGTATTAGTAATCAATCAGTAATAAGTTTATTAGATATTATTGTATATTTCCGTATAGGCAAGAAAAAAAAAAAACAATACACAGTAGACATGTGTATTTACGCATACACAAGAAAACAAAAAAAATACAATACCCATTTTCACGAAATTCCACCCTATCTCGCAAAATGACCTTTCCCCCTCGCCCGTATACCCTTACAGATGCCTCGTGATTGCAAGCAGGGACAACAAGAAGTGGCGAGCGAGCACAGAACGCCTGAATACCCGGTACCTGAAGGCCGTCGGATCGCCCCAGTACCACCACAACCAGGAATATGTGGTTAATGCCTTAAGGGATAAGTTTCTCTTACACCAACACCCGGGAGTTGATGCGTCTGATGCTGCCATACACACTGTAAGGGCCTTTTGGAGTATGCGTCTTGGTGTTCATGTTTGACTTAATGTGTGTGTGTGTGTGTGAGAGAGAGAGAGTGAGAGAGTGTTATGCTGTTGATGCATGACTTATGTTATTGATGTATAAGATTTGTTATTGTTGTATTACTGATATATTAAGTATGTTATTACTAATACATTAAGTATGTTGGTGATATGTTATGTTTTTGGTGTATAAGATTTTGTTGTACGAGTTATGTCCTGTGTTATGTAATGAGTGCATGTTTTCATGTTGATGTATGAGTTATTTTATTGATGTTATTATAAGGGATTTACTTTGCAATCCTCGTTACAAATGTTACAAACTTCTTCCCTAGTAGAGATGCATACAGAACACGGAAGACTCGCATCTTAATAGTGTTCATACTGTGGATATAACATGTGCTTAGATAAGACTTAAACACCACATGAACCCCAAAAAGTTTTTAAAAAGTTTAACCCTCATATTAAAGACCAAGTGGCCAAGCTGGGAGGTTGCAAAATCCATATTAGATTCGATTTTGGGGCCCATTTGTGAAAGGGAAGACGACACACTGAAACGCACAGAATGTTATTGCTTGACAAACTGCGTTCGAATCTGTTTTGAATTCATTTTCGACCGGGGTATCGTTTGAGATTTTCTCTGTATAACTATGCTTTAAGAAATTGTAGGAGACTTTAGCTAAAGTACAATCCCTTTAGTGTGGAATACGTCCGTAAAACCATATATTCTTAAATTATGTTTAAACCATTACAAAAAAGGTAATAAAGTAATTATACTCATAATATAATCAAACTAACTTTTAAATCATCGCAAAAAAACATAGAAAAAGTAAATATTACTCATGATATGCTTAAATTTCGTTTAAACCATTGCAAAACGATCTAAAGAAATCAAACTCATGATACGTTTAAACTCTGCTTAAACCATCGCCCAAAATATACAGATATAAGGCTCTCGAGACTGGCGGGCCTTTGGCTGCACAAAATGTTGGTGACAACGAATACTTCTTGTTTTAACAGTACTATATTGGTAACAGTTTTATATAAATGACCCATAAGTGCTTCATGGAGGTATTCGATTATCATAGCTAAAGGCACCAACAGGCAGACTCTTGAACTGATGTGACTGATGTATACTCTGTGTTAACCTCAGAAAAGGAAAATCTAGCAAGTCACTCCAGACTTTGGCGATATAGTTAAATATAAATGAGTGAATGAATTATAAATAAATAGGAATATTAAATCTCAAGTAATCGTTAATCATGGGTAGGGGTTATATACAATGCTAAATGAGACATGTATTGCCGTCTTCAGTTGGTTACGCTTAACGCAACCACTGCCTAAAAAAAGCAAAAACGTATCATAAATCCTGAAGAAATATATAAGTCACTTGACAAACCACTAACCAAGGTAGACACAAAGGCACATCACCCAGAACAAACGTAAAATAAAACAAAAACAAAAAGAGAACTTAAAAAAAAAAAACATTCCTTATCTATTAACTGAATTTAACGGCTCTCTCCACAGGCTCTAGGCTTGCTTCAGATCAACAACATTCCCACAAAGACGCGCTATGGAGAAGTTCAAGCCATTTACCCAATGTCTTCGTTACTGAGTCATTCGTGCATCCCCAACACCAAAATGCAGTGGGAGGTGAGTTGATGTTCTTTCTTGCATGTCTGTTTGTGCCGTTGTTTTGGTGTACTTGGGGAGTTAGAAGTGTTAGTTCTGTTGTTCTTGTTGTTTTCTTTATTTCTTCATTTTTATGCGTCTATTTTTAAATGTTATTTTAATGTTTACTTTGGGAATCAGAAACGTTAGTCCTGTTTGTTTTCCTTGCCAGTCCGTTTTTTTATCGTTATTTTCCCGTTAATTTGGGAATAGAAGCCTCATTGTTGGTTCTGCATGCTTGCTGGCGTGACTTACAGAGCCCAAGAACTTCAGATTTTGTGAATGAACGAACTACGGACTTCAGACTTCAGATTTCATAGGGTCTTCACAGAGTTTACACTTCAGATTTCATAGGGATAATTGAAAGACGGTTTTTTTTTTACAGTCGTAATTTTTCCCAAGAAATTAGAAGAGTTAATTGTTTTTTCTCTGTGCCTGTTTTACTGTTGTTATAAGATTTATTAACGAAATTAGAAGAGGAAATACTATTGGTGTCGATTTGCTGAATTCATTTAGATATTTTTTATCCCCAATGTATATATTGTTCTGGGTTTTAGGTATAGATAAAGTGTAAATCGTTAAAAAGTTATGTAGAGGAAGTCCCTCATTTCGCATTATCTGCAGAATAAAACACTAGTTTATATTTGTTTTAACTGATATCACGCAAATAGATGAGAAAAGTTATTGTTTATACATGTTTTAGCTGACTTCAAACTCATAATAAAGTAAAATTTTCATTGAGACTTCAGACAGTTACATACACAGTAAGAGTGAAAGCAAGTAACTGTCTATTAAATATTGTAAATATGTAGGTTAGAGAGGAATGGTAGTTTTGCTGGTCTTTTCATGCAATTGTTTGCACGCGTGTATAAGGGTTAAGTATTAAATTGTATGACAGCCAGTGGTTATAGTAATGTTGTAATATATAATTTAACCTTTGAAGGTAAACACACACACACACACACACACACACACACACACACACACACACACACACACACACACACACACACACACACACACACAAACACACACAAACACACTCGCTCAAGCATTCACGCACATAGTACATATATTCTGAAGCCCTTTTACCCCCTCCTCACAGAACGGACGTCTGACCGTACGGGCATCAGACCCCATCAAACGCGGCGACCCCATCACCGCCATCTTCACAGACATCCTCTGGGGCACGAGGGCAAGGCAAGACCACATCCAGCAGACGAGACTCCTCACCTGCACTTGCAAACGGTGCCAGGACCCGACGGAACTTAACACCTTCTTCTCAGCTCTGAAATGCCGAAGGTGCGGGGGGACCGTGTTACCAGAGAAGCCCCTGGACGACGGGAGTTCTTGGCTCTGTCGGGAGTGCTCTCATCAGGTAAAGATTTTGTGAGATTCGGGGAGTTTTAAAACATTTGTTAGTTGTGTGTTTGGATTCTTTATCGGTGTTAGGGGGGATGGGTGATGGCAGTGTGTTGGGAGTTCGTTTAAGATTCAGTGCTATCGTATTAGATATGAATTAGATTTTTTTTCCTTTTTTATTTCGTCTCTGTGGCGTTGGTTCATTTAATGAGAGCTCGTGTGTTTGGTGTTAGTAAAATCCAGTCTCTTGTTAGTAGTTTTTTTCTTGTTATTGATGAAGAGATATAATTATTTGTCCGATGTTTATAAAAAGGGTAAGGAACTATAGTAAGGAAATATAGTTTTTGGATTACGAAAACCCGGTTCCTTTGTATTATGTCAGTAAAATGGAATCTCTCGCTATTATTAGTAGTTGATTTTAAAAGTTGATATTTTTGTGCTAAATATGTAGGGGGGCGAACTTGGATATCTTGTTAACATTTACCTAATGAAAATTTTTTGTGCAAAGTAGACAGGGTGACGGACTTTAAATTTAATTTTCAGCATACCTAAACACTTACTTTTTCCTATTAAATTCACAGATGACCACAGAAGAAGTACTAGGGACGAATTTGGCCCTGGGTGCGGCCGTGGAGGTAGCACTAACCAAACCCTCCATAACGTCCCTCGAGGCTCTGCAGAAGGAGTGGGTGCAGCGAGTCCATCCCAACCACTACCACCTCCACGCCGTCAAGCACTCGCTCCTGCAGCTCTACGGGAGATCCAAGGAGAAAGCAAACGAGGAGGAGAAAGACGAAGCCCACTGGATCGAAATCGACAAGAAGGAGAAAGTCTGCAAGGAATTCCTCACCGTGTGTTCCCGTCTGGATCCCTCCACCCAGCACACAATTCCCTTCGTCGGCCTCACGTTCTACGAATACCACAAGACGATCCTGCAGAATGCCCAGCGCCACTTTTCCCAGGCGAAGCTGACGACGCAGCAGCTCAAGAAACGAATGCTCCTGTCCAAGGCTTTGTTACGAAAAGCTCTCGAGATTTTCAAGAACGAACCGGAGGATACACCCGAGGGCCAGCTGTGTATTACGTGTGAGGAAGAAATAATTCGTATAGGAAAGTGGATGCTGGCAGTAGGGTTGGTATGAGTGTTAGTGTGAGTCGGTGTATGGGTTAGCATGAGAGAGAGAGAAGGAGAGTGAAGGAAAGAGAGAGAAAGAGAGAAAAATATGATGGGAGGGAGATATCAGATTCAAATAGAGTGAGAGAATAAGAAAAGATTGGAAAGGGAGGGAGAGGGGGAAGGGCAATGAGAGAAAGAGAAAACAAAATTGAGAGAAAGATAAAAAAGTAGAGGGTGAAGAGAGCGAGAGAGAGAGAAAGAGAAAGCGAAAATAAAATATAAATGGAGGGAGGAAGACCAGATATAAATACAATATTTCATAAACTTTGACTAGTGTTTTCTTTTCCTTCATTCCAGCCTTCCCCGTCGTTCGGAAATGCACTTTTCAAAACTCCAGTGTTGTAGATATTTTGTCATTGGCGTCATAGCCTTATTATCGCTACCTAATTATTGGTTAGTCAAAAAATCTGACCTTTTTATATTATCA